TCTCATTAAAACTTCAGGAAGTAATCTTGAAGCCGAACAGATGGAAGTAAACCACAATGAATACCTTGAACGACTTGTTAGTTCATCAGAAATTTGTGTTTGGTTATAAAACAACTTAGAATATAAAGAGTTATGAGATTACGATGATAAAACAATTTTAACATGACTTTAGAATCCTTCTATGTTGAATTAGTAAAATAGTCAAACGATAGTGTTAAGAGTTAGGGTTGGGGTAAGGTGGTACCTTGTTTCTGTAATGATGAATACTTTTTCAGATGGAATTTAAGTCTCAAGAACTTTTAAGTCACCTTGGAAATGCACAAGTCCTGTTAGGATGTTGTGTACGTTTCAGTTCTATTTGTTTACCACTGTATTTTCATGCACATTAATTATCACTTACTCGTTGTAATCTTAAGAGACGATCAAATCCGTTCGTATTATTTAGTCATATAACGGTTGTTATGTCAATTTTAAATGTCTCTGTAACTATTGGTAGATTTTATTACATCCCCATACAGCTTTTATTAAGGTATAAGCTCTGTGTCACCATGATTTGGATTTTGCACAAAAATCAGTTAGCCGCTATCTTTGATTTGATTAGTTATTCAGCCAAGTATACTTTTATCACTCAAAGTTCAGCACGAGAACATTTTATTTACAATGATTTCCTAGTAAATTGTCAGCTCGTGATGAATACAAACCTCAATCTAAACTGGTCTGTACAGATCATTCAACCAAGACTTTCCATGTTATATATTCTATAACATGAATTAACAGATAAACTGTGATCTACCATGTTCATTCATCATTTATGTTAACTTTGTACACATATGTCGAATTTGGAACAAACGTCATTTACTATTTCATTTCTCACTTTCCCTGTTTCTCATTTGTATTTGATATTTTCTTCCATCTCCATGAGTGACTGATATTATCTTAACACTATTTTTCATTGCTTACAGATGTAAACAAATGAAATCGTCCAGACATGATACTAATATGTAACTCTGTCAATAAATACCAATTCAGTAAGGACATTTAAAGAAATGCTTGCTATTGTTTTTTCATCTAAGGTTTCTGTAGTGAATAAGTTGACTTTAAAATATCTCTAAGATCAAGCTGATATATCACTTTGTAAATATCTCATTATGAGAGCTGTATTTATGGCACACTGATATTAGCACTGTATTTTACGACCTCAGACAAGTGTTTATGTCTATCGAGGATGGCTAAATATACATGGAATATCGAAATCATAATACCCACACTTATTATCATTTATTGTTGAATATACACTGGACCTAGTTTTGTGAACATATACTGAAGTTTGCCCGTCATATGTCTACTTCATTTCCTGTTTTCCGTATTCCCCAAGTGCAATTGAAGCGTTTTGTGCCTTCATGATTCGTTGGAATTTTTCTAACAGTGATTAGAACTTTAGATAGAGTTGAATAGTGGCTAGTAGTGAAATTCTGGAAGGTCGTTTCTCCCAGTTTGAGACTTATAAACTGTATATGCCCGCACCTCAGTGTTGGTATTCACATCGGTACTGTAACCCAGTACATTTTACCAAAGTCGTCTGATCAACTGTAATTCTCAGTATCAAAAAACTTCAAACAACCCTTATTAATGAATTATTATTTAGAGTTGTTTACAGTAGCATCATAATCAAAGTTTTTCTGGTGCTCATACACGTTTAATTGGAGCACCCAATTAATTAGAATGGGTAAATTAAACAGGAAGCCTTCATTCTTGTACAACATGTGAAAATCACTCATTAACTTGGTTCTTATGATACGTTGATGTCAGCACACTTTCAACAACTTAACACGAAATTTTCATTTCAACAGACTATAATCAAATGTACCTATTTAAATAATTATTCTATGATCACGCCATACTACTAATATTTACACTCATGAATGGTTGTATGTGCTCTGACTACATATCAGCATAATTTGATTTGTATGTGTGTTGTGTTTCTCTCGAGTTCAGTTTCTATTAAATCTATCACTCTCAATTCCTTAATTGTAATTACTAAGTCCCTATAAATATATTGCACTTGATTTGTCAGTCAGATTGTTTCGGGTAGACACACGTGAATACATGATTACATGTAATTTAGGTAAAGAATTTCTAGGGTTGACTTCCTTAAATGGTATTCGTTAATATCTCAAATGATACAATGGGTTTTACTACTTACAAAATAACTTGGTGTTCTCCTTCAAAGAGAAAAACAATTCATAAATTTACTTGCGTTACACAACACAAACCTATGTTTATAATTAACCAAAATAAGAAGAAAAGAACTTTCATAGTATACTACTGAGATACTGTAGTAAAGTATATTTCTACATTGGCTGGTTGGAAGTAGATGAGAGGACCACACAAACATGACGTTGTCCACTTCTCAATAATCAATCAATTGAAGATATCGCACTCTTATGAGGGGTCATACGTGACACGAATAGGTCCGTGTGATATTTCTGATTGTGAAACCTGGTAACCCACCAAAAATCAATAGTTCCTTCAAGTTTTCGGGCATGTTATGTTGACGAGTGCCAACTGTTGAGAAAGCTAGATTAGATATTCCCTGGGATTTAATTACCTACAATCACGGAACACCATACATGGTGTACACAATGTCGAGTCACTTAGACTAGTGGATATATCGGAAGTTGGTCAATAGCATTCGATTAACCCTAAGGAGATTAGACAGACTTGAAACTGATAGTTACTCAGTGATAACTCAATTATATATTGTCCGAATCTGTCATAGATTTTTCAATGTATTATAAACCACTTTCAACCTTTTACTATCTTAAATCCCATTGTATTTTGTACAATTACATGTAGAGCTCTGTGATTGTGTACTGTACATTTCTACTAGCTAAATTATTGAACTGAATCACAATTAATGATCTATTCTCTTGTCACAAATTAGAGTTGTATATTGAGCATTAGGCTGTCAATTGTCCTTACGTGATATTCAAAACTCCGTAATACAGATAATATTGAATTAATGGTAACGAGTATCCACTGGCAATGTTCACATTACACTGTCTTGTGCGAATAAGTTGACTGGATTATGATAAGAAGATTGATCCACTGAGGTGACCACATAGTCGACTTGTTATTCGACAACAGGACGAAACAACTGTTGTTAGCTTCCAGATGTTCTATAGTACTAAACCTGGAAAACACCTGTTGAATTCGACTTACAAATTACTAGATGCATGAAATTATTCTCATTTTAACACTTCAATTTGAAGTACAATATAAATTATATGCAGTGATTATATTGTAAAAACGCCATAGTTACAAACATGATTCAATGATTGAATTAAACAATCAGTGAATGAATGAACTATGGATGAAAAAACTTTTATTGTTTAAAATTATGAAAAACTATTTATATTTCCCACAAAACATCCAACACAAGTGTTACAGTCTGTTCACAATAGTTAATGTGTATTTCAATGTGTTTCCGTTGGTTGGTCACATGCATATTGTTACATGACGACATATATAGGTATATACCCTTCGAAGTTATACTAACCTAGTTTAATAGACGTTTGTAATGATTTAAAACACTTGAACCATGATTGGTAGGATGTTCAATGCACCATTAAACATGATCACAATCATGCATAGATTGAATGTCGAACTGTATTGTTGAAGTCTTTATTCACAAATATGTAGTGATTGTTTACTGAGATGGAAAAAAAGCAAACCATAATATGAATGTTTACATATTATGTAATGGTGTAAATAAATAATAATAATAATAATGTTTATTATTATATATACATATAATTGTTACAAGACATGTCTCTTTCTCAGTGAAATACACTGAATAATTATGTGTAAGTGATTGCATGCAATCTAGCAGTGATTGATTATGTACGTCAATCATTAAAGTGTCCAATCAGGGTGTGTTTATAAGTGAGTGTAGAGCTAGACGAATGGTTTTTAATGGATATGAATAAGTTTTATATGAGAAACATTGCATTGTTACTGTGTGCTACTGCCATAGATTTGATAATGGTTGAATATTTATAGATGTTTAATAAAGGGACATTTTTAAAGATTTGTTTTCAGTTATCTGAACTCAGTAGCTTATTGAATAGCACGGTATTTAAAGCTATGTGAACATCAAGAAACCGATGAGTAGATCCACTTCCTTATTGAACGAATAGAACGTTTGTATCATCAGTCGAAAGAGTTTGAATTATCTCGTTGTAGGATAGAATGTTACCAAATATGCATCTTGTATAGATATTCGCGAGTTAGCCGTTTTATCACACGTTTTAAAGAATGAATGTGTTGTGTCTAGCAGTAGAGTCAAAAACGTACATTTCATCCTATTTGAGAGACATCAGTTTGATGTACTTATAACCCATTGTTGATGTACACAATGAGACTCGAGTTCAGCATCTTTCACTTGGAATGCCAATGCATTATGCACTGAGCTATTGAGTCCAGAAAACAATTATTTTGTTCAACAAATATTATTATCATTATTATTACCTACAACAGTAAAACACTATCGCTTACTAATTATAACTTTTTCGTAAGTATAGGAAGTTTTGTGGAGACTGTAGAATTTTCATAGTTTACATCACGAACTGTTCTAGTGAACAGTTGTAATGAATGTTATAGGACGATTCTCCACTTAGGGTAAAGGAAAATAGTGGTGCTAAATCGTGGACGGATTGAAGTTGTACATGTACAACATTGGTTGCTAGCTAAGTGATCTAGAGGTTGAGCATTCGTGTTCTAGACTGAATGTTATAGGTTCAACCTCTTGGAGTTAGCGTGCGATTCTGGAAAAAATATCTGTACCGTGTTTCCGGGTTTTTAGTAATGACCTTCGTAACATTTTGTTGTACAAACCGTAATTTCCTTTGGTTTTAGCTGAAAATTAGTGAGTTTGAAGAAGAATGACTTTTTCTTATGATATAGACCTACATTTTTCTCTTCATTGCATTCCATTTCAGCTCCTGATCTACATCGTGAAAAACATTTCAATCAACAATTATCAAATAATAATTTAACAAATAATCAAACTAAAATTTCTATCAATGTTACAAATCTTAAATACAACTATAGTAACCGTAATAATAATGATTATTCAACATTGAACAATACAGATTACATTAAAACAAAAGCCTCAGCAACAATACCAACAACATTCACACATAATACTACAACAACTGATAACTGTTACCAAGTTAATTTAAAAAGTATTATCAATTTATCTGATAAAAATATTGATTATTTGAATACTAGACGAGCTCCAGTGAAGTTTGCCAATAATCATACGGAACAATTAAATGAAAATGTGTAAGTTTTATTTTTTGTATGATCAATATTATATCGCTGTTTTCTTCAGTGTGTTGTATAATGCTCAACAAGTGTGTTACCTAGTAGGTGAGTACTGAGAGTTAGAATGTGATTTTCACTAAATACTTTATTTTAGGTATTTCAATTTATTCTTAACTGAATATTTTGAGTGGCATCGTAAATCAAAATATTGAATGATAGAACACATAAATATTAGAAGTTAGAGCTGGTAGTTACATGTCCAATGGAGAATACACTGTTATATGCATTAATTACCTACAAAATGAACGGGGAAATGACCGACATTGATGGGTGTAATACATTTCAATAGTTGAGATCGAGTCAATTGAATCTAGACCACCATAGAAAACCTGGAAGCACTGGACGAAACAGCCATCCACAAAAACCCCTTCTGATACTAATCAACATATGCTCACTAGGGACTGGTTTCAAGAGGTATTTACTGGAATTCTAGTGAGAAGCAGTGCCCAGTGGAGTTCAACCAGGTCTGTTGTGAGATAGTAACTCACTGATGACAATGGTGGATATGTAGCTCAATTCCATGGATCAGTTGAAGTTAGAAATTAAATCGATCGGATGCCGACATGCTCAGTGTTCTAGAGGTTGAGAGTTCGCTTGTGAGACCGACTGGTCCTGGGTTCGAATATCGCGAAGTGGGATCGTGGATGTGCACTACTGAGGAGTCCCACAATAGGACGGGATGGCCGTCCAGTGCTTCCAGGTTTTCCAAGGTGGTCTAGCTTCAATTGACTCATTATCTCAACTATTAAAATTATTATAAATCCACAAAAACCCCTTGCAATATATTTGTTGAAACTTGGAAACGCTCCCGTTAATTTCAACATTTTTTTCTTAGTAAATAATACGGATTGTCAGTTCATTATGATTTTCAGATTTTGAAGGTTATATGATAGATATTTTTTTCTTCTGTACTGTCGTTTGTTACTGAACTAATACTATTGAGTCGTTTACAACCACGTCTGTCCTATAAATTTTATACAACCTATGAGATCATTTAAATTTACTCATATCAATGGTTGGAAATAAGATAATCTGAAGTGATTTTAACGGGTAATTGAAATTATGTGAAATTAATTACATTTAAAAGTTAAGCTGTTTAAAATTACACTTTATGTCCTGTCAAAACAACTCGAATTGTTTAACTAATTGACTCACTTATTCATATTAAACACACAGATGGTTTCCTAAATGAATGATCGTGATATCTTGGAGATTTTGATTCTTTAGAATTTTAATTTAAAGTTTCGTGAGTATTTTGTCTTTCTTTTGATTTTTAGTAGCTAATCATGTTCTCCAATCTTAATTGATTGGAGGGATCCAGTATAAAACTTTGAACATAGGTTTAAGAACCAGTTACAACTCGTCACCAAGATGTACTTGTAATGTTAAGGGAACTGATGCTACCTGAAACATTTTAACATTGTTCACCTAACCTCACAGTATGAGACATTAAAACTGAGCTATTCGAGCAAGACTGTAAAACCGGATGATTTGGTCTCGAACCTACTAATTCTTTTCTGATGTCTACATAGCATCGATTTGAATCGTGTACCATCCACTAGTAGTATCAATACGGTAAATACGACTAACTTATAAGTAGTAAAATGTGACATCCCGAAACCTCGATTGTTTTTGACTTCTAACCTACTTAAATCATTATTCAGCAGTAGTGTGATGTGTGCTACTAATATCGACAGATATAAGTAGTATGTATCACCAATTGAAAGTAAAATGCCTGACAGCAGAAGATTAAGAAGATTGAAGAGAAGAGAACGAGAACAGAGAATGATTGATGCGTAAACGAATTAACAATGTAGTCTGAGACAATTGATTGATATTTTGCAAATGAACTATTTACTGTATAATTCTCAGATTTGACTAAGTTATTCTGTACTTTCGTATTCAAATACACTCGATTGTCCACACTCATGTTGTTGTTCACTACAGTAGTAGTATGAGTAGTAGTAATATTAATATTTATCATCCGGGTCGGACCACACACACATGTAAGTACACATTATCATGTCTTATTTCTAAATGGAATAATATACTAACTAATAGGAAACAAACAAATATAAACTTACATTTAAGAAACAGATTTTTCTATCCTTTACATATACATATATACGTATACAGCACGTCTCGCATTTCTTTACGAGTTGAAAAATATCAACCACACAAGTAATTCTGCAAATCACCTGTTCTCCAAGAGGAAGAATAGTTGAAAAGGTAATAATAATAATAGTCCATAATAGCAAACGATGGAAAATGTTAAACACGCGAGCTATTATACCTATCAACATATATTGTTACTATCAATATTATTATTATTATCATTATCACAATTATTATTATTATTATTATTACTATTATTATTATCATCATCATCATTTAAAAACCCCTTGACATTTAAAACTGATATTCAACCAACTAGTATATGTATGTATATATGTATATATTGATAAAGAATTAGGCATGTACCAAATCCTCTTCCTTCTATTTTCATTTAGTTGCAAAACATTTACTTCCTTTTCGTGCCTTATATAAATCAATAATAATAATTACATTTCATGTGTATCATAGTGGCATTAAAGGTCTATAGGCAATTTATATATACATATATGTAAATTAAGGTATATACAATTACCTTATCTATTTAAAATTACGATTAAATATCTAACAAACTAATTAGATTGTACTTTATGTTAAATTCACTTATATCAATAATGGATAGATTGACTATAAAATGATTTGATTATATGCTAAATTAATGGTTTCATAATGATTCAGTGATGAAAGTAAAAACAGAATGTTCTAGGTTCAATCACTAGTGAAGAAGTCATAGGTGTGTAATCTTGAAGAGTTACATACTGAGACAAAATAGTCATTTATTTCATATTGATTTTTGATTGGTACTCCGAATGAGGTCAGTCAGTGACGTATATCATCTACAAATATCTCCATAAAACCTTTACAAAATTGAATGATAGATAGATATTTAGTAAATCTTCCGAATAGTTGAAAGCAAAATGACCTGGTTACAAACCGCGGAGTTATTTTGATAAACAAGTTATATTGATTATTATTAGTAATGTCGTGACTATATAGATAATGGGTGAAGTTTGGTCTGATAGACTTACTAGTTCATCCTTAGTCAATTTGTTAAAATTTTGTTATGGCAAATAATAATAATAATGTATCTCATACAGATTCATGTCCAAATAGTTTTCGTGAAGCTGTATTCCTGGAAGATATTATCAGTGATATCAACCTAATCGAAAGACGCAGAAAGTGTCAGCTACTTTACGATGAATGACACTGAACAATAATCATCCTAAATTAATACTTGTATTATGATAAAAGTTCGAGTAAGAGAATTCTGTTTAATACTGCAGCAGACATCAGAGTAACTAATTTTAGACTTGATCTCACTTAAAACATACAGCGATGGTTGTGCATTCTGTTGCAATGTGTGGTGTCCAAGAGTTGATACTGATATGTGAACTTCTTACATACAAACCCAACCGATTATTAAAATGAAAAGGAAGTTTATTGAATAAACGGAATCGATATATATATATATAATATATAATATTATATAATATATATATATATATATATAATTAAACCAATGGAGTATCTCTCATTCCTGAGATTTGGAAGCCATTTCAAGCCAATCAAGTGTGCTTATTATTTGGCTGATTCCTGATTGGCCTAGTATGTCACAGTCCTGTGGGAGTCTGAAACATAGAACTAGTTCCTAGTTTTCAGTAGTGGTTTTTCTAATGATTTCAATTTTTGTTTCATTGAAATAATCTTTATGCTATTCAAGACCTACATTAAACTACCGTAGTGATTATCAACTATAATTTGTCTTACTAATATAGAAAGTTAATAGGAATTGTTGAATTTTCTCGTTTTGCATCATGGACTGATATTAGTTTTACATCTACTGAACACCACAAAACTACTGGACAACTATTTTTTTTAGTATGGGGTTCACTGATTTCCATCCACAATCTCACTATAGACCAAACTCAAGATTGTCATGCCTTGCGGCGAACTTCTGACTTTTAAACCACTGAGCTGACACCTAGTGATTTAAATTTCTAACTTTAATTAATCCATAATGTGGTGCCGTGATCATTCAATCCTATTTGTGGGTAACTGCCTCAATCTTAACATGATCAAACTTAATTGGTCACAAAATCTCATTGGATTTCCCATAATTAAATCTAAAAATTAGTCACTAGTGACTACAAAATTATTATTAGTGAACAAGCTTTATGAAAATAATTGAATTTCGTAGTTTGACCTTTGTAACTATCCAGTGTCAATGTACGCGTTGATATTTTAACCTGATACACATTTTTTTCAAATGCCAGTGTGTTTTATTTGCTTTAGCTGTTGTGTACATGTAAACTACAGGAAGGTTTATTACAATTTATAATAGAAAGAAAAAGTATTTAAAGATTGTTCTCATCATAGTCTGTTATTACCTGGGGAACCGAGTAGTGCTAAACATTTATGTTATCGCAGCACAGGCACTCTATTACGTTTGTGTTTATCATCTCACTCGTATTGGATTGAACTTATGTTCATTCAATTTAGTCTACCAACAGGTTACTTAACATTACAGAGTTGAGAGATCTGTTGGTCTCCTTTTTCTAACTTCATCCTGCACTGGAAAATCAGCTTCGAACTGGAAAATCTTCATTGAAATCTCTTTTTTTAAAAATTATCGATTAAAGCTCTTAGATGAATACATGATAGTAGAGGAATTGTAGATAGCAATGGAATCCCAAATGCATGTTTCCTTTTGTTTGAAACTAGTCAATCCGATATACCTGCATTCTACTTTGTTGATGCTCATATCAAGGCTTTAACCCAATATCCTTCAATTCAGTCATGAAGGTAATATGCAATTGTTCAAAATTCCATAATTCTTCTTTCAAGAA